GATTTTGGTCAAATGATGTATTTCGAATGTTGAATTCTGACCAATTTTTTTTGTCAGTCAATTTGGCCATAAGCCCAAATGTTCAGTAAAAATGCGATAAATCGTTTAGGAGATGTCCAATTCCATTTCCATGAATTTCAATGACGATTTCGGTGGAATTTTCAGCGATAACACAAATATACTGACACTTAAAACGCAATAACTTTACTTCCCATCAATGAAATGTCATGAAATTCTCACTGGACAATCGATAAAAATAGCAGATTCTAACGCACCAGTCGACATATACATATGTAGATGGCACCAACAGGGAGTGCTAGATTCAAAAAGTCCTGTTTACTTTGGAACGCAACTTGTATATATATTATCCCATTTTTCCTTGTTGAATATTGACATAATTGAAAAAAACTTAAGAACAAATACAGCAGACCGAAAACGCATCACCAGCTGTGGATTTAGTGTCTTGATTATACCATTGTACCCAAATTGGTAGTACACCATATACATATCCGAATATAACAAAGCAAAAGAGCTATTGTTGCATAATTTTAAGCAAACACTTTTTAAATTCATAGATTTTTTCATCATTTTCCTGCACTTACATTAAACAATATGAAGCTTCGGCTTTATATTTTGTTGTGACWCTTGCAGTGCCTAAAAGTAGACTACTAATAATATATTATTGCCAATAAATATTTGGATTTTATTATATTATGCGTGTGCAATAAATAATATTAACAATAAATTTAGAATATTTACATTTTKCATCTTTATGCCACATATGAAGTACCACATTTTAAATAATTCTGMTAGAAAAACCTATGCACTCGCTTAATTAGCAGCAACGGTACTAGCGGCTGGCAAGCCATTAACAAAACAAGCATTCAGTTCCTTATAAGTCTCAGAGGTCTGCTCGGCATAGGTGAGTTGGGCGCTGTTAGTGCAGATTTTCTCAGTATCCTTGATTTGCTGCAATCCACCTTTGAGAGAAATGGCGGCATTCGAAGCGTCAGTAGACAGATTATCGATCTCATTGACATCAGCAGAAGCCTAGTTAAGAGAAGAGTATACTAGTGAGTACACAAACGAGTTATGATCTTCAAAAAGTCTTACAGCTGCGGCGTAACAGTTGAAGAAGTCCAAGTTGTCGGTGTCACTATGGCAAGAAGTGAGCGCACTGCAAATAGCRGTAGTCTCATTCACGAAAGTTGCACGACCCTGCGCAGCTGTGGTAGTGAGATTTGCTGTTGCTTGTGTGGCCACGGTAACGCATTGCTCATATTGCAACGAAAAGTTGGTGGAAATTTGATTTAAGATTGGCATAAAATGGTTGAAGCAATTGGTAGTGATTGCAGGATCAGCTGAGTAACCTAGCAAATTCGATTCGGCAAGCAGGTTGAGTATAGCATTATCAGCCTTAGCTCTGGGCACTGAGGTGGATGGTCCAGCCTATGGAATTATAATTGTTTATATATGTTTTCTAGCAAGAAAGTAGTTCATTGTTTATTTGAACTTACCACTGTGGTGCCAATGAATGCCAAAGTGAAAATTGCCAAAGTTGCAGTTTGCATGTTGTTGCCTTCTTTACTTTCCGCTTACTTGTAAGGTAATGACTTTGCGAAGTTTTAATTTTGTCTTTTATAGCAATTATCTTCATATATTTTGAAAATTATTGTTGTACATCTGGCTCTGTATAAAATTTGCTTTCTACTATTTAGATAATTTTGATTGAGTGTTTTTTGGCTTTATTTATCAGTTAATCCTCCTTATTAAGGGGACGTTCTTATAGTTTTCCCCGCAAGCCAAGCCAGAATGCAGACAGTTATGATTCACTTATGCTTATTAAAAGTTTGTAATGTTGGTGAGAGACTTGGTCCCTGTAATAAGTTGTACGTATGCTCTATGGGCTCCTGAAAAGTTCCAAGAAGCCTCAAAGTTTTCGAGCTGAATTTTGTTCAGCGGTGAAGTCCATTTCTGGCTCAATGGATACGTAAACAATTACGGCATTTGTGACGAAGAGCAACCTGAAGAGACTAAAAAAGCTGACATTTTATTCAGAAAAAATAACGGTTTGGTGTAATTTGTGGGTCGGTGGAATCATCGGTGGATATATTTCTCCAAAAATTATACCAGTGAGAATGTAACTGTCAAGGCCGGCCATTATCGCGCCATGATAATCGACTTTTTGATGTCTGAAAATGAAGTTCGTGATCTTGTCGATATTTGGTTTGAACAAGGCGGTGCTACTTTCCACATATCGCCTCCGTTAATGGATTTATTGAGAGAACACTTCGGTGAGCAGATCATTTCACGTTTTGGGCYGGGCGACTGGCCGCCATGAATGTGCGATATCACACCGTTAAACTCTTTTCTGTGAGGATATGTAAAGTCTAAACTCTATGCTGACAATTTCGCCGCTCTTCAGACCTTGGAGAAAAACACTGCGCGTGCCATGCGCCAGTTACCAGTCAAGCTCAAACGAGTCAACGAACATTAGACTCGAAAGCATGTACCATCTGAGACGTAGCCGCGGTCAACATTTGAAAGAGATAATCTTCAAGAAATAATTGCCAAAGAATGTTCTTTCGAATGATAATTAATTTTCTCAATTAAGTTTAATGTTTAATGTGGTTTTTATTTAAAAAAGTAGGGAATATCGAAATGACTCACCGTTTTTTATCAAGCTTCAGTGCAAGCAACTACCAAACTAAAAGCTTTATCCCAACTATAAATAAAAGCACATTTGCGCATAATTTTTCGTACAGACGTTATCAAGCTTAATTTTGTTATAAAGTTTTTGTAATTTTTTCCAAGAATTTTGTATTTTTTGTGTTGCGAAAGTCTTCTACTAGCTACTTGCTAAACGAATCTTCCTCGTCGGTACATCATTTCGGTGGTAAAGGGATCGTACTCAAATATTCATCGTCAGAAARTACTTAATCAAATTCTTGAGTGCCCAACGGTTGTTATTGGCACAAGTGCTTATATCAAATCCATGACAATATCCATTTCAAATCACAAAACTGGGTAGTGTTACTGATGCTACATCATCAGCTATTCGCCTTCTAGTGATTTTGCTGTTAGCCCACATATGGAGAGAGAGTCCATCGTATTAGTGTTCTCAATAAAATTTCTTCGCTAACACAAAATCAATATTTTGCTCAAAGTACATTTCTCTAATTTTCCGATTGTTGTACGCGATAGTGGTAAAGTGCTCTAAGTATATATATTTGCTAAATAAATAGTAAGTTTCTACTCTTTGAGGAGATAATATTTCAAAACTATATTAAACACAAAATTTAGTATGTTTTTTATAACTTAGGTCTTTCATTTCATAACTTCATTCACTTAAATGGTATTTTTATCATGATTATAAACAAGTTTTGGATAGCAGTAACTACTGAACAATTTCTTATGTAGACTTTATGTCTTAACTGCAATGGTACTAGTACTAGCGGTTGGCAAACCATTAGTGAAGCAGGCATACAATTCTTTATAAGTTTTCGTAGTCTGCGTTGAATATGTCTGTTGGGCGTTATTTTGGCAGATTTGCTCAGTATCACTGATCTGTTGCAGTCCACTCTTCMATGAAAGAGCTGCATTTGAAGCGCTAGTCGATATAATAAAGATTTCATTGATATCAGCAGAGGCCTAGTCGGGAAAAGATATTCCAGTTKCATCAAAAATTAATGAAATTTTTCAAAAATACTTACAGCTGTGGCATAGCAATTGAGAAAGTCCAAATTATTGCTCTCGCTGTTGCTGTTGCACGAAGCGAATGCATTGCAGATGGCGGTCGTTTCATTTACAAGAGTAGCACGATTCTGCGCTGCCGAGGCGGAGAGTTCGGTTGCTGCTTGTGCGGCCGCAGTAACGCATAGCTCATATTGCACGGAGAAGTTCAGCGAAATTTGGTTTAAGAGTGGCGTGTAGTAAGTGAAACATTGTGATGTGATTTCGGGGTCAGCGGATCCTCCTAAAACCGTATTTTGACCCAGCAAATATAGTACGTCCTCATCTGCTTCGGCCTTAGCAACAGCAAACGGTAGTACAGCCTAAATTATTATATAAAATGTTATTTTTTTGTCTTTACGCTCAAAATTTATTGCCTTTACCGTTGTGTTTCCAATGAGTGTCAAAGCCAAAATTGTGAAAATCAACGTTTGCATAATGTCCAGTCGTTTACTTCGCGAGTGCTTTCGGTCAAATGAGCAGCAGCATTTCCGAGTAATTTTGTCATAACAATTATTTTCATACCTTTTGTTAAATGTTTATAAATATCGAAAAGTTTGCCAGTTTTGTTATAGCTTCGTGTTTATATACCGGTAGTTACAAATTTGATTGAGTATATGTAGCTTTACTTTTTATAGATTAAGGCATGAAAGTTATAACGCTTCAAAACTGGGAGGCCTGTTGGAACAGACTCGCGCAGTAAATGCGTGAATCACTTATAATTACAACAATATTGGATCAAATTGAAGTTTCGCTATAGGGCAGCTCTGCTTGGGATCTAATCGAAAAATGAGTGTTTGAGATTATTAACAAACGACCATTCAGTGATAAGTTTTGTTTAACTTGTTGAATCATCAAGTAAWTTTGATTGTGTTCTAAGCTCCAAAAAGTTGTATTTGGTTGTGCAAACTTTGAAGMGTGCGAATCGAACAAACAAATGACATAAATGATATAGACTAAATCTCGTCTCCAGGTATTTTTTCTTTTATGACTTGTGAGGCCTCTGCTCATCTCTAATTATCTCACTTAAGGAATTGGGAAAGTTTTGGATACAGATAAGAGTTCAAACATGGAGAAAATGTTGCTTTTTACGAAGTTTTGGCGGTTCTGACAAATGAATAGCTTTCTGAGGAGAAAAGGATATTTACAAATTTTCATTTCGATATCTGAAAAACTTAAAAAAATATATACGACGGACATATCCAAATCGTCTCAGCTCTTCACGCTGATCATTTATATAGATTAAAGCCGGTCGATTTTTTTCTAACGGGTGATCAAAGCAGAGCCACTTTTTTCAATAGCTTTTTTTTGTTTAAAGATAACGTCGTGTAAAACTGTCATGTTACTTTTCTTCAGAGATATTGTTCGGCGTTTCATCTTGGAAAAACTTTCGTCTAAACAAAATTTACATTTCTTATTAAAATTCATTCATATTTGCAGCACCATCACCCATCGTGAGCCACAGCATTCATTATTAAATAATATTCGTTCGAATAGACAACGTCCAGTAACCAGTGAAAAAAATATAGCACCCGTAGCTGAGACTGTACACTAAAATCGTCGAGGGTCGATTCGGCGCCGTCCTCAGCAACTCGGACTAAAGTGCGGCTCTTGAAAAGCTCACTGWAGTTCCGACGTTTTCGAGCCAAATTTCGTTCAGTGATAAGCCCATTTCTGGCTCAATGGATATGTTAACAAGCAAAATTGCCGGAATCGAAACGGARAACAACCTGAAGATTTCAAGAGCTGCCATTTAATATAGAAAAAACTGCGTTTTATGGTGGTTTGTGAGCCGGTCCATATTTCTTCAAAATGATGCWGGTGGTTCTCCATTTTTTCCCACCGTTATTTCATTGAGTTTTAGCAAACACATTAATTGTTACTAATGATAATTTTAAATTGGTTTCAAAACATTGTTTATAAGCTAAAGATCGTTTAATTCTTCAAAGGCAATTACTAATATTGTCAAAAGTGTCAATATATAGCTCACGTTTACTTTCACCTCCCGACTACTTATAGAGCTTTGACACTATCATATCTTTTTTGTTGCTAGTTGTGTTAATACCATTATCATATATACTTAACTGTAATTAATTGTAATTACGATATACATACRTGTACATATGTTTCACATCCGTTATCAGAGTCTTCATACACAACAGTTCACATGCCACCAGTTAATTGCGATAAGAGGAATGAGAAGCCAAAAAGTAGTAAAATAATGATATCAGTCATGACATATTTTTAGAAACTATAAAACAAATGAATATTCAAAAAAGTTTAATGTTTTTACAATTTCTATATTACATTTTTTGTAATTCTATGGACGACGTTGTCATTTTGTGCATCGTTATGGTGCACATGCATTYGAGGTTAGGCACTATTGGATGGTAGGCCGCTGTAGAGAGTATGGCACYTACGATCAAACTTGATCGATCAATTAAACAGGTTGAAATAAAAGAYATTTAATAAATATTTTTAATATGGTGCTTACTTTTAATCCGCCGACTTTCGTAGGTGTCGTTATGAGGCTCAAAGAAATTGTTATTATTCTTACTTGCGGAGAAGGTATTAAGTTTCTAATACTTAAAAKATATGGATTGAAAGTTTGGAATTGGGTTGTGTGGAATCTCGATTCAACTATCGGAACTTATTGAAATTCCAATCACTCGTTTTGATCATCATGAGTAAAAAATGTATGTATAAATGTATTTTCTAGCACTGTTCTGTAGTAGGAGCAGTGTGAAAAGAATTGCTATAATAAAGTATCAATTTAAATTTTACCAAAATTAAGTTTACATCAGCAGAAACCAAAGCTGCTGCGAAAATGGTACAGAAATAGTACTCTCTGTATATTATTGGCTTTTAAACAATAATTTTGAGGTTTGAATGTTGAGGATCAGAG